CTAAGGCACTTGGCTGCTAACCAGAAGGCTGCTGGTTCAAACCCACTGGCCACTCCTTGGAAGGAAGGTTGGGCAATCTACTTCCATAGTGATATTGCCTGGGAAACCCACAGAGGGGTCACTATGAGTTGGGTCTGACTCGACAGCACATAACAACAACAACAGTGGAATCTCTTAGTTTGGAAATTGTTAATGTGTTCTCTGCTGATCAAAAGGTTGGAGGTTCGAATCCACCCAAAGATGCCTTGAAAGGCCTGGCAATTTACTTCCAAGATATCAGCCTTCAAAAACCCTATGGTGCATAGTTCTACTCTGACACCATGGAATCACCATGAGCTGAAGTTGGCTTGATGGAAACGAGTTTAGTAGAGGAAAGGGTCACATAAATAATTAAAGTGGGGCTTGCAGGGATTGGTATAAGGCTTCCCAGAAGCCATGTTGTCTGAGTTGAATTAGCCAAGGATGAGTAGCTATGTGGAGTCTGAGTTGGACAAGGGTTTAACTCTCCCCTCTTTCTCATGGAAGGCCTGGGTGCAGCTCCTACAAAGAAGCTACCCCTTGCCTCACCTAAGCATTGAGGCAAATGCTCTATGTCTCCCAATTTCTCTTCTCCACTGGCTCTGCCCCTTGTAAGCTGGGTCCTGGTTTTCACTTCCGTTGGAATGGCAATGTAACTGTAAGACCCAAGACCAGGGCTTGGGAATTTCATTTTGGAGAAACCAAATTTTTGAACCACTCAGCTTCTATACCAGTCAGACAAACTGAAATTGGCTTGTTTCTTGGTCAATACCAACACAAGACCTCCCCAGCAAAGACCACACAGGTATGAGGCCTTTGAGTCCTTGAGGCCTTCTCTCGAGAGCACAATGACTTTCTGCACTGACTGTCTTAGATCATTCTATTGATGAAAGGAGGCTTCTTTTAATAAACAATGTTGTTGTTGTGTGCTGTCAAGCTGGACCCGACTCATAGTGACCCCCTCCTTGGGTTTCTGAGGCTGTATCACTACGGAAGTAGATTGCCCCATCTTCCTTCCAAGGACTGGCTAGTGGGTTTGAACCGCCAGCCTTCCGGTTAGCAGTCAAGTGCCTCAGGCACTACGCTACCAGAGCTCCCTAACAAACAATAGCACTGTTATTTTGGAATAAATATTCCTTGCAAAAGTCTACTAAATATTATAGTATCTGGCAGGGTTTTCTTTTTTCATTTGTTATAGTATATTTGGAGAAGTAAATAGGTGCCATTTATGTAATTCTTTACTACATGTTGTTGTTGTTGTTGTTGTTGTTGTTGTTAGGTGTTGTTGAGTAGGCTCTGACTCATAGCGACCTTGTGTACAGCAGAATGAAATACTGCCCACTCCTGCACCAGCCTCACAGTCCTTACTATACCTGAGCCCACTGCTGCAGCCACTGTGTGAATCCATCTCATTGAGGCCTTCCCCTTTTTCACCGACCCTCTCCTTTATCAAGCATCATATCCTTCTCTTTACTATATATAATTTGTTTGTCATAACTCTTTAAGGAAATGTCATTGTCCCCTTTCTACACTTGAGGAAACTGGATTTCTAAAAGATTAAGTAGTTGGTCAAAATTATAAGGAGCCCTGGTATCACACTGGTTAAATGCTCAGCTGCCAACTGAAAGGTCAGCAATTCAAACCCACCTCTGAGACAGAGAGACCTGGCGATCAGTTCCTGTAAAGATAATAACCTAGGAAGCCCTATGAGGAAGTTCTACTCTGTCCTATAGGGTCTCTATGAGTTGGAATTGACTAAGCAGCACACAAACAACCATTTTGGCTCCAAAATTAGCGAATCAGGAAATAGAGTAGTCAGGACTCAAGGCTGTATCTCAGACCCCAGAACAGCATGCTCTTTCCGTGACACTGTGTGAACTCCAGGAGGCCCTGGGTACACAGACAATCAAGTGTTCAACTCCTAGCCAAAAGTTTGGTGGTTCAAACCTGACCTGTAGTGCCTTCGAAGACAGGACTGATCATCAGCTTCCAAAAGATCAAAGCCCTGAAAACCCTATGGAGCAGTTCTTGGAAATGCTGCTCTGCACACGTGGGGTCACCATGAGGCTGAACTGACTTGACAGCAGCTAACAGCAACAACAGTGATACTAGCTCCTTGTCCCTTCTGAGCCTTCCCTCCAGAAAACGACGCCATTTTCTGTAATAGGAGCTCTAACAGTGGAGTAATAGATGGTTATGATTCTTCTAGTAAGTCCTTGAATCAAATGGAATCATTTATAGCTAAGCTGACTGTTTGAAGCAGCTAAAGACATTCCAAAAGGGGATTATCAGAAAGAGTTTCATACACAGTGATTAAGAATCAGATATTTATAGGCACAGAACAAAATAAACTAAATTAGAAGGGGCCCTGGTGGTGTAATAGTTAAGAAGTTGGCTGCATTAAACAAACACATGTATTCAATAAAAATAAAAAGCTACTAGCAAATTAGAAGGGGTTTGCTAATCAGGCAGCCTAAAGACCTATCCCAAAATACCATCTTGAACTTCTGTTTTATTCTTTAAAATCATCTCTCTGTGGATATACCTATCCCAAAATACCATCTTGAACTTCTGTTTTATTCTTTAAAATCATCTCTCTGTGGATATAAAGTCCTGTGGCTAATAGAAACCTGGTATAAGGAATAACAACAACAAAACCCTACTGTCATCAAGTCAGTTCTGACTCACCCTATAGGATTCTATAGGCTGTGATTTTTACAGAAGCAAAGCCCAAAGCAATCCCACCACAAGTCAATCTGACTCACAGGATCCCTAGAAGACAGAATAGAACTGCCCCCATAGGGTATCCAAGGCTGTCAATCTTTACAGAAGCAGACTGTCTCATCTTTTTTCTGCAGAGTGACTGGTAGGTTTGAACCACTGACCTTTAGGCTAGCAGCCTAATGCTTTAACCACTGTGCCCCCAGAGCTCCTGGGTACCCAGCATGCCCACGTGGCCTGCAGCATCCCCACCTGGCATGCCGGATGGAGGCAATGGCATTGCTGAACTCGCTGTCAATACTGCGGCAGTTGTAGAACTCCTCATAGGCTGGCCTGGAAGAGCCCTGGTACTCGATGCGGCTGATGCGGCAAATGCCCACGATCAGGATGATCAGCATCAGGATGAAGGCGACGCAGAGGGCACCGATGATGATGTACAGGGAGTGGCGGGGCATGTTGGTGAGACTCTCCGCCATGTGCCCGGACTTCCACTGAAGGTCTGGAGGCGAAAGAAAGGACTGGATGTGAGTCTGGGCTTGACACTGTGGAGGGCTGTCCTCCTTACATTGGTAACTTAAAATCAAAGGGCCACTCAAATAGGAGGAATTATTATCTGTGGTTAAACCAGACCAAGGGCTAATATACTTAATATACGAGGACTTCTTACAAATCGTTACAAAAAAACCATGAATGGGGCAAAGTATACAAAATAGGAATACACCAATGAAATATAAATAGACAACTATTTAGCATCACAATTATTAAACAAAAATGCAATTCCTCTAAATATTATCATAGTATTTATTATAAACTATCAATTTATAATACAAAATTATGAATATTTTAACTACTACTCAAAATATTTTTCAATTATGATAAACACAGCTAATGAAGGTACACAGATAGAAGAACTATACACAACAATACACAACTCTTCTGTAGACTAATTGGTAAATGTTTTGACCTAGAAACTCCCATTCTTTAGAATGTGAGCTGCAGAAATTGTGCCACAAGTGAATGAGGAGCTATGTATGTGCAAGGATGTTGATCTCAGCAGCAGCAGTTTTACATGTTTGTCAGCCATGATACATTTAGAAAATGGTTCAGAACGTAGTCACAGACACCCACATACTCACCACTCAGAGTTCATACGTGTTAGCATTTTACCATGTTAGCTTTAAAATTTTTTTCTGACATTTTTCAAGATGAGATGAACTGCTGCCGGCATAGCCAGAGCCTTGTACTCCCTCTTCCACTCCACCAACACACGGCATAGGTTTCAAAAGGGAAAGCACGGGAACAAGCTGAAGAGTCAGCCCTAGTGAGAGGGAAAGCTGTCCACCAAGGAGCAGAGAATAAAAGCAGTTTACCCAAGTGCACGGGACAGTCTCAGATGCTGCCCTCTGTGGCACCTGCTCTGAGCTAAGGTGATGGAACGTTACCAACTGTGCCCTTCCCACAAGTAGTAACCTCTATTAGCCAAAGGAGGGAAAGAAAAGGAAGGATGGATTGTAATTTCTGGGTTTATGTGGCATAGGTCATGAGTATCAAATTACATTAAGTATCTATTTACAGACCTGCACACAAATGGATTGTTCTGGATAATGTGAACAGGGTCTGAAAGAAAACCATGAAGGTAGGTAGGTACATAGGTAGGTATGTAGGTAGGTACGTAGGTAGGTAGGTAGGTAGATAGGTAGATAGGTAGATAGATAGGTAGATAGATAGATAGCTAGATAGATAGATAGACAGACAGACAGACAGATAAAGGCTAGCTAAGACCAAAGAGAAGCTAAACCTCCAAGGAAGAGGATGCCTTCCCTGAGTTACTCACTACCCCCCAGCCTCCGGAGCTCTGCTGGCGTAGTGCCTAAGGCACCTGAATACTGACCAGAGGGCTGATGGTTCAAACCCCCCAGCCACTCCTCGGAAGGAAGGTGGGGCAATCTACTTCTGTAGTGATACGGCCTCAGAAACCCAAAGGAGTCGTCACTATGAGTTGGGACCGACTCAACGGCACGTAACAACAACAACCCCCAGCCTCCACACTCATGCCGGGGCTCTGGGGGCCTGGGTGTGGGAAGCACCAGGACTCTTCTCACTATCCCCATTCAGGCAAGAGCACCTGTGTTCTCTGGACACCCATACCCTCAGTTTAGTTACATCTGCCGTGGTCTTGGACCCTTGAGAATCAGCTATTCTCTGTCTGAAAAGCACCAGAGAAAAGTTACCATCAGTAGAGGGGCACAGGGAGACCCCAAAGAGGGTCCAAGTGGGTAGACATCTTTCCTAGAAGCCTGGCAGAAAAATGACCCATGTCACCCAGCCTGGATGGCTTCTGGGAGTCTGAGAAAAATGGGGATGAATGAAGTGACTTCAGCATCTGTACCCAGACCTTGTGACTTCTGATCAACTGTGGGTTCTGTCATTAGAGACAGCCTGCCTGTGCTGGTAGGACTTGTGGATCTCCAAGACTGACTGACCAGGGGTGTGTGGATCACTCCACCCCAGCCAGCTCACAGACAGGCAGACAGTATGACACAGACCAATGTACATACATCAACAGGATAGAAGGGAGAAGGTGTTCCATGAAGCTAGGACCAGATTAGCCAGCAGCCAGGTCACTGGGCAATCCCTGTGCACGTGGAGAGACACTTGTTTTCCTGGATGACAGGAGCAAATGTGATGCCCTTGATCTCCAAGCATTGCAGCTTCCTCTAGAAAATTCAGTTGCAGGCAGAGCCCAGCGTTCAGCAGAGAGTGTTCTAGCAACATCTCCACATGCACAGGTATTGCCCAGTGACCTGGCTGCAGGCTGAGTCCTGGTTCTAGCTTCAAGGAACACCTTCCTCCTTTTGTCCTGATGATGTATGTGCAGTGGTCTGTATTATTCTGTCTACCTGTGTGTGAGCTGGCTCAAGAGCAGTGAGCACATCTCTGGTCAGTTGGTCGTGCAGCTCCACAAGTCCTACAGGCACAAGCAGGCAGACTCAAATGGCAGAACCCACTTCCAGGGTGTCTTTAACCTCCAGGAGAGGGATGAGTGGGAGAAAGGGAATGGAATGAATAGGCCACCTTCTTCCTAGGACTCCATTCATTCAACAATGATTAATTCAAAAACACCAAACACACTGCCATCGAGTCACTTCCGACTCACAGCAACTCCCACTGGGTTTCCGAGGCTGTAAAAATTACGGAAGTAAATCGCTCCATCTTCCTTCCATGGAGTAGCTGGTGGGTTTGAACCGCTGACCTTCTCGTTAGCAGTCAAATACCTTATCCTCTACATCATCATAAACAAACAAACAAACAAACAAACAAACAAAAAACCTCACTGCTCTCAAGTCAGATCTGATTCATAGCGACCCCCATTGGGTTTCCAAGACTGTAAATCTTTACGGAAGTAGATCACCCCATCTTCCTCCTGCAGAGCAGCTGGTGGATGTGAACCACTGACCTTCTGGTTAGCAGTCAAATGCCTTAGGCATTATGCTAGCAGAGCTCCCACTATGCCACCAGAGTTCCTAATGATGAATTAAGCACCTACTCTATGCCAGGCCCACTGCCCATCTGACAGTTTGTTGTACTGTGTTGGCCTGCATGTTGTTGTGACGCTGGAAGATATGTCACAGTATTTCAAACACCAGCAGGACAGGTTTCGGCAGAGCTTCCAGACTAAGACAGACTAGGAAAAAAGGCCTGGCAATCAACTTCCAAAAATTAGTCAACAAAAGCCTTACGGATCACAACAGAATATTATCTGACTTTCTTGCTTTGGACGCAGCATCAGAAGGAATCTATCACTAGAGGAGCCCATCATGTTTGGTCAAGTGCAGGGCCAGTGAGGGCGAGAGAGACCCTCAGTGAGAGGGATGGGCACAGGAGCTGCAACAAGGGACTTGAACGTGGTGGCAATTGTGAGGATGATATAGGATGGGGCAGCCTTTCATTCTGCTGTACATAAAGTCAGAGTCAGAGCTGACACAACAGCAGCTAATGACAAGACATTCAAGGGGCAACGTCAAACAGACAAACGGATTCGGATGTTAAATCATTATTTTGGTTAATGGTAACTGACATTTATTGAGAGTTCAGTAGACGGCAGTCACTGATCTAAGTGTTCAGGTATTAACTCATTTATCCCTCCTACGATGCAATGAGGTAGACACTGTTTTCAGTTCACGGAGGAAGCAGCTGAGGCTCCAAGAGGGGAAATAACCCCTGGGCTCCACACAGGAAGTAGCAGAACCTGGATTTGAACCTGGCACTGCGGTTCTAAAACCCTCACACTTAAAAGACGTGAGATGTTTTCCAAAGTGCAAATTGCAGAAATCAATGGAATGAGGCCACATCAACATAAAAAGAATAAGTAAAAGGTTGGCAAACTCTATCAGAGTGTCCCACTTATAAAAGTAAGTGGCATTGCAGGCTTTGTGTGCTTGTGTGTCATGTGCAACATCAGGATGTAAAACAGATTTCCCACTGGGGGATGCAAACAAAAGGTGTAGAAGCACTGCCCGGTGTTATCAGCACTCCTGAGACAGGGAGGACAGAAAGGTTCGCTTCACGGGTAGCTGTGCCTACTTTGGAATGGAGAGATCAGGATGTAATCAGATCCATAACAGCTACCAAAACCAAAAAATTCACTACCACTGAGTCGATTCAGACTCACAGCGACCCTATAGGATGGAGTAGAAGTGTCCCATAGGGTATCCCAGGCTGTAATTATTGACAGAGATGACTACCTCGTCTTTCTCCCATGCAGTAGCTGCTGGGTTCTGACCGGTCCAGTGCTTAACCACTACACCTCCAGGTCTCCTTAATAACAGCTACATACTTACATATTCCTGTTCCTAAAACGTTTTTAGAAAATTGCTAGCTATTAACTCAAAAGCATCTAATGCATGAATATTCCATCAGAGGCAAGGAAATTTCTTTTGATAATGTCATGGATTGTGTTGTCAGTCCTAACCCCTATACCTGTGGCTATAATCCTGCTTGGGAATGGGAGGTCTTTGTTACGTCAGTGAGGCAATATTAGTGTAGGGTGTGTCTCAAACGTTCACTGCTGTCCACAAGGCTTGCAATGGCCAATTAAGAAGTAGATCACTTGGTCTTTTTTGTCCAACCTGTCTTATTCTGGCAGTTCTGTTGAAACCTGTCCACCATGAGTGCCCTGATGGCATTTGAAATACCAGTGGTACAGCCCCAGCATCACAACAACCCACATACCACACCACAGTACGGGAAGCTGACAGATGAGTGGTGATATTAGTGTCTTAAATCAATCTCACTTGAGAGCAGATTAGGCAAGCAAGTAGAGATGGGGGAAGGTCAATAC